TCATACAATCACACTTGACACAAGGGCACCTAATTACTCCTTCACTTTGGTATGGTGGAAGTGACATTGCATGTCTAATAAAGTCATCAACCCCTTCTACAAAATCCTCCCGCAATGCCCGCCGATTAGGATAATTCCTATTGTACATCCAAGTACGATGTTCCATCTATATAAATAAAACAAGAACATTTATAATTTATTCTACAATTATAAATTAATTAAATCTTTTTTAGTTAATTCAAGATAATTATTTTTTCCTAATTACACCAAAAATTAAATTATATTAAATATAAAGTAAAAGTTCAATTTATATCTTACGAGTTTAAACATAAACTAAAAGTTCAATTTATATCCTAAAAATTCAAATCATACCTAAAAGGTTCAATTTATATCTTAAAAGTTCAATTCACAAGAACAATACCTAAAAACTAAAAGTTCAATTCATATCCTACGAGTTTAAACATAAACTAAAAGTTCAATTTATATCTTACGAGTTTAAACATAAACTAAAATTTAGGATTATATCCTAAAAATTTAACCCATACCCTAAAAGTTCGATTCACAAGAACAAATCCTAAACCCTAGATTCTAACTAAACTATTTAAGACAATACAAAGTTAATAATTCAATTCTAACTAAACTATTCAAGACAATACAAACTCAAACATTCAATTTATACCATATGTAATCAATTCAATTAAAACAAGACCTAAACCCTAGATTTCTATAAAATAAAATATTATTTAATCAATTGAAACTAATTCATAGCTAATAAATAAAATATTAGATTTATACACAAAAGATATAAATTGTAATTCAAACCTAGAATTTTTAGGAGGTGGAGAAGGAGAGATGCAGTAGTGGCAGCGGCAGCGGTGACGGCGCGGCGACAGCTAAGCGTTGGCGATGCGGGGTGGGGAATGAGATTTGTGTGAGGGAAATAGAGAGGGAGAGGGGAAGGTACTGAGTGGGAGTTTAAGGAATTTTGAGAAGAGAGATATGAAAAAATGGGGGAAATCCCGTCTATTTCAGGTTTGTTTTCAGACTTACCGACCAACGTTGGCCGGTATTTTGGTCGGTACATTAAGTGTTGACCGTTTGACCAAATACCGACCAACTTTGGTCGGTTTTTTTTTTTTTTAAAAAACTAAATTCTTTTTTTTCATTTTTATTTTTTAACATATTATAAGCTATAAAAAATTATTATTAACTATAATATTTATTTTATTTAACTATAATTATTATAAATAATTATAAACTATAAGCATAATCTTTACAAAAAAATTACATTAACTAGATAATTACTTTTAATTGATTATAATAGCATCTATGTAAGTAAATGTTTAAGTTATATTTAAGTAAATGAGTAATTTCACACACACACATAAACTATATTGTAATTGATGATCAAACTTATACATTACTACGTATGTACGAGTAATTAATCAATTGATAAACTAATATCATATTATTCTATTTTAGGTCGAGACGTCTTGTTTTTATATTAATCGATATAGGTCAAAACATTTTGTTTTTAATATTCATCGATGCATCTAAATAAGATATAAGTCGATGAATCAATTTACAAGCCTATCAATCCCTAAAAGAACTCGACCATGTGTTCCTAGCGTTTCATGTTCTTATATATATACGACTATCAAAGTGTGTGTGTGTATATATATATATATACACACATACACACAGTCACTTCATTGTAATACTTTAACTATATATATAGCTTGTTATAGTATATGTTAGTGTGTGTATATATATAACACACACACTTCGTTGTGCTACTTTAACTACATACATAGCATGTTATGGTATATGTTATTGTATTCATTATATGTAGTATAATAGAGTTAATGGATTGCATTCATTCATCATTAATAATGCATGACATAGATTAATCGATATAGGCCGAGACGTTTTATTTTTACTATTAATAGATATAGGTCAGACGTTTTGTTTTTAATATTAAACGATGCATCTAAATAAGTTATAAGACAGATATATTTGATGATAAATTATATATACTAATTAGAATCTTCATAAGTCTATCAATCCCAAAAAAAGGGATTGATAGACTTATGAAGATCCTAATTAATATATATAATTTATCATCAAATATATCTGTTTGGAAATTGATTCATCGACTTATAACTTACTCAGATGCATCGTTGAATATTTAAAACAAAACGTTTGACCTATATCTATATCTATATACCNGACCAACTTTGGTCGGTTATTTTCCAGAAATTAAAGTATAGCGACCAAAGTTGGTCGGTAAATGATTCCCCCAGTATTAACTAACCAACTTTGGTCGGTAATTTTAAGTGAGATTTCTTTATATTTTATAAAACATTTTAAATTAATAATATAACTATTAAAATTTTATAACTATGTCCCACATTACCGACCAAAGTTGGTTGGTAATGTAAAATTTTCTTTGACTAAACAAGTCTAACCAGCTCGGTCAACTTGTTGACCACTTTACCGACCAACTTTGGTCGGTAATTTATTTAAAATAAATATAAAATATTTTTCTCTCAGTTACCGACCAACATCGTTGGTTGCTATTTTGGACCGATCAATTTTGGTCACAAAATATTGATCGTTAATTACTGAATTTCTAGTAGTGACTCCTGATCTTAATATAAAGGTTCCATGAAAATATCTGTCATATAAAACAACCAAAGGGATCAAATTCTAAAGAAGCATGCTGCTTATGGACTATTGAATTATATGACTTGTAGCTTCGAAGAAGATATCATTTCTTCATCGATCTTAATTAGTCCTTAAGATTGTCTTTCTTAAAATTGGAGGACATCCTATTGTTATGACCGAAATAATTAGGTGTCATGCGGAAGCTAGTAAAACAAACCTTGAACGATCATAAATCAGATAACAAAAGAGAAATCTATTAAAAGAGACACAAATATTTAACGTGATTCGGTCAATTGACCTACATCCACAACGGAGATGATTAATCCACTATAATAAAAAAAAAGTACAAAATATCGAGAGAACAACCTCATGAAGAGGCAAACACAAGTGATACACTAACACTTGTCCTGTAAAGTTCTCCCCCTAAACACGACTCTCAAACCACATATGCTACATTGTGAATACTAAATGAGAACGACGGATCTTCAATTTATAAAACTCCAAACCTTTTCCTACAAGAAAAAGGACTAGCCAAATATGAGAGATTTGTAATTTGCTTCTACAAGAAGAAAAACACAATTAAGGTAAACATGTTGCCCTTTCCTTCAACAAATAGAAAAACCAAATATGGTAAGAAAATTCTGGCAAACACCTAACACTAATTATGACATTGCAATCTAACCAATTTATCCGAGGGTCAACTAAATGAGTCCCTTTTATTTGCGATAATTACATCATGATTTAATCTCATGGAGATGGTAGATCATTAATCTGTAAGTTCTGCGATTAGCGATCAATTCATATATGTTGAATGCCGAATTAACATTAATCATTCTAAAATGTACACTAGTACCACGAAAAAAAAATACTTATTTGGGAATTTATGCTTATAAATTAGCATCTCTACCCATAATTAACTTTAGTGGCCTATAAAGCACGATTCCACAATATTGTTAGGCATCATTAACTGTAAAGTTATTCTTTTCGAAACAAAATAGTTGAACATTTTCATATTCCACCTTCTATCAGTATCCTTCAATAATATCACTACCACAATATAGTTAGGCCTAATCGTGTAACAGTGGTTAAATTAAGCCATAGCTTTGCCAATGGAATTGGCGATCCTCAACAAAGTTAATTTGTTAAACAAGATCAAAGTTAAGTGTTGGGTATCATTAAAATTGTAAAAATCCACAGAATCAATGCCGTTAACTTAAATCATATAAGAGGGTATCATGAGGTGCTAGGGCTTAATAAAAAGGCTTGAAAGCTTAAAAGATTCAAATGCAATAAAGGAAAAAGGGGTATGCCGCCATATAGAGTGACAAAGCTCGACAAAAACCTAAATCTTGTGAAGTAATCAAATACTAGGGTTTCGTATAGGTGATCACTCCCTCTTTTTATGCTCTTTAATTGGATTAATATAGTACATGCAAACGTGCATAATTGTCGTCCATTCATTTCGATCTGTATAGTATTAATTAATAGTTTAAACCAGTTAAAGGAATAATTAAAGATTATTTAGTAAACAGTAAACATATGTAGAGAGGGTTTGGGGGCGGGGACCATTTCTACCCTAATAGAATTAAGCTTTACAGGTTTCAACTTTTAAAAAGTGGATTTTCCCCCAATACAGCTTGTTAATATGCGAATTAGTAGTGGACTCAATTAGATTATATTCTCACTTAATATTTTTAAAACCCTAATCTTGTCACAGGTTTGACTAAGGAGTCAAGATCTGAATTTAATTTGTTTAGTTAAATACTCATGGCATAATCAAAATCTAGATAAATCCAACCTGTGAGAAATAAAATGATTAAATGATCGAAAGTAGTTCTCTCATTTCAATCTGGAGCATTTGTAACAAAAAGAGGACGATATAAACATATTGTTTTAACTCTAAAGTTTATTCTTAGTATGACCATGTCAATTGTGATTGATTCTTAACCCTCCATCCAAATCCTATATATATATATATATATATATATATATACGCATATATAATGTCGTTTGAAT